GAAAAAATATTTCTACAACAATATTGTTGCTATAGTATTTCTTTCTTAGAAGTATTTTAATAATGATCCCTTTTAATAATTACCCTTAAAAATATTTCCTCGCATCAAAAGTTTTTTTTCTTTAAACAAAATGTTCACTTGATTTATATGAATTCATATGTTTATCATTTAAATTTATATAAAAAAACAAATTTAAAATGATGCATCAAGCGCGCCTATGCTTCCACATATATATTCATCTGCAAGAGCCATCATGACACACTTCCTTTCTCTTTCTCTCGCTCTAGTTTTCTCGTAGTTTAACTGCATATTTTCCCGAAAAAACTTTTTCGAGAAAGTCTCAAGAAAGATTTGTTTTCGTTGATCGGTGCAATGAGATTCAACTGTTGTTTCAAAGGCGAAAATCAAGCACTGCAAGAACACTACGAATTCTCATTTGAAAATAACGAGGGACTCAGTTATGTTTATCCAAATAATGTCCAAATCCCTGGCAATTGTATTCTTCAAGGTTCCATTTCTTTGTTTCTCAATCGTTGAAATCGAAATTTATCTGTTCTCTGATTCTCCGTATCACAAAAGCAATATGTTCACTTTCATTGTACAAATTTTTGCATGTAATCGTATTAGAATTGTATCTTGTTTCTGAAAATAAATCTTAATCTTGTGAAAATTAGCCTATTCACTAATGCCACTAAGAACTTGAATTAGGTTCTTGTTTTGAAAAGAAAGTCTTGATCTTTAGAAAGTAACAGATTCAGTAATGTTCACTAAGAGATTAACTTTAGGGTTCTTGTTCTTCGTGATCTTTCTTTACTTACCACACAAGCAATTTGTTAACTTTAAATGTACTATTGTGCACACATTCCTCCATGTAATTGTGTAATAGCTGTCTCTTATTCCGAAAACAAAAGTCTATGAATTCATGCCTTGAGGTCCTCTTGTAACAAAACCTAATCGACTTTGTTTTTAGTTTTCAAAACCAGTTCAGTTTGATTTGAACATTATTTTCGTTTGTAGCAAACGTGAATGTTTTACTTGATGATGATTTTGTGCCACATGAATCTCCGGTTTTGGATTGGAACATGAGGATGAGAATCGCAGTTGGTGTAACAGAAGTTTGGTTTATCTACACGAGGGGCCAAAAAGTGATTCACCCTGATGTCATGATTGAAAACGTCTTACTTGATGGTGCTTTTGTGCCAAAGTTGACTTATTTTGGATTGGCTACTAAGACCGTTATAGACAATCACGAGGCTGAGATGCAGAGCGTGATCAATCCGATCAAGGGAACTCTAGGATGCATCGCACCGGAAATAGATGATTTTGATTTGGTTTCGACCGATTCCGATACCTATAGCTTCTGTTGACGCTTTTCACTAGAAGGACACCTTATGACTCTCAAAGGCAAGGAAACTCACTGATTGGGTAATGACTAAAAACTTTGATTCTAGAGCTCTTTTTTGTTTAATCGTTGCATGTACCACAAGTAATGTATGAATTTGAGATGTTTTTGGTTGTAACTAATGCCAATATGGAGCGAAGAGGAGAATCTGCCTCTGAGAGTACCCTCACTGGGAGTGTCTCAATGGGTATTTAGTATTAAAAAAATAATAAAATCAAGAGAAAAGAGAAACACATAGGGTTCTCAAATGAGATACTCTCCGAACAATGTTACGAGACTCTCATAACACTTGGAC